AAAATATTAATTTCAGAAAAATGAATGAGTTTTGTGAAGCAATTAAAGACTCTCACCTGTGTGTTTTTACTGCTCGACTAAAGCCAGTGGACAAACAGGAACTTGATACAGTTTTATAACCCAGTTGTTCAGACATGCCCAAATTGGCGACCACTAAAGGTATCCTATGAAAAAGTCTGAAGAAATACAATTTTTAAATATAAATGTAGAACAAGTAAAAGATTAGCACTGACAAGTCAATCTATTAAAAAAAATTAAAAAATAAAATAGATTACTTCACTCACTCTCACACACACACACACACACACACACACACACACACACACACACATACACGATAAAACTGACAGCCCTGAGGCAAATAGCTTTTGAAAGCTATGAAATGTGTATGGTATAAAATAGTTGTATGGCAAAATAAAACTTCAGTAGCTATTTTTACTGACCAACAAAAAAACCCACCACAAAGTCAGTTCCAACATAGAAACCATATATCAAGTTTCAGAGGCTGTACATCTTAAGAGGAAGAGACTTCCCGCATGGAGCAGCTAGTGGGTTCAAACTTTCAATCTTTTCGTTAGCAGTGCAACACTTAATGAACATGCCTACCATGGCTCCTTTATCAGGTTCAAAACCAAATCATACTAACTATAGTAGAACCAAACCTACTACGGTAAAATCGCTACTCATTGACCTTCCATCAGGTTTTTTAGGTTGTCAATCTTTATAGAAGAAGACAGGCCATCTTCTCTCCCCATAGTGGGTTGAAACCACCAACTTTTCAGTTAGCAGCCCATCCCGCACACCTTGCCACAAGAGCGTCTTTTGTATTGAAACTGTCTCATAGTGTGGGTTCTCAGAAGCAAGAAATTACACCAGAGATTGCCCATCCATCCTTCCACAGAGCAAGTGGTGGATTCAACTGTGTTACCTTTGGGATTGCAGCACTGCTTCTTACCACTAGGCCACCAGAGCCCCCACAAAAAGTAAGGTACTGCGGATGATTGTATAGTAAACGTTAATTCAAATTTTAAAAGGCCATACTGACATGGGATTTATCAATCTTCTGCAGATTATAAAATTAATCTTAGTGGGTAATTTTCTAATTCTTATTACTTCACTACAATGTAGTTCACACAGTCTTTAGGGAATTGCTATTAGACTCATTTTTTATGGGCCATTGAGATATCCTGCTGCTTCTTTGCAGAGCTTGTAAAAAAGCTACTAACGTATACAAGTGTTAAGTTCAACATTATCCTTTTTACAACAAAAATCGAAAATATTTTTCCACTTTAAATACTGAATAAAAGCGAATTTTCAGTGCCAAATTATGTCCGTTTTCACAGCTGGCTTCTATTTCCTTTGTTTTTTTGTGTGCAAAGAACAAATTACAAGATGTACCTCAAAAGGTTATTAGACAATCTCATTATGCTACTTGAGAAGCTACAAAGTACTATGATAATAATGTGCATATTTTCCAATTAGTTTCAGATAGCCAATGACTGGCCAACATTTACCCTTCTTGAGGCTTATGCAAGGCATGTTCCAGGCGATGAGTAGAGCAACTTTCTGTTGTTATACTTGGTGTAAGTAGCAGAAAAACAAGTTCTTTGTTTGAAAGATACTTCAATAAATTATTGTGAAGCAGTCTCTCTCTGTATGTCATAATCTGATCTGAGTGACGTCGAAATTTGTACCAGCCTACTACGTCCTGAAAGAATTTGGGAAGAAAAAAAAATAAGTCTTGATGGATGAAATCATCATGTCTTACTGTTGTAATTAAGCAATGAAATGAAACTTAAAAGATGATTTAATATTTAGGAAGATAGCATACACCTGATAAAATGTACAAGTTGACCTGCAGTTATAATTACTTCCTACTTGGTTAGAGGGTTACACAGAATTTTGTTCAAGAAAGAATAAGGAAGAAACAAAATTTTAAATGTCCTCCAGTTGCTTTTATAGCATGTGTTGTCTTTAAAATCCTAATTTAAATAAAGCACCAATACAAGTTTTCCTTAAGAGGCAATCTCTTCCTAAAGCAACTGATGTCCAGCTGATTTTGAGATAGAATAAAAATCACATTAAGGGATTTGTATACTACCACAAGATACACGAGAGAGAGCTGGTGGCCTCATGGCAAGAAGTTGTGCTACAATCCTAAAAGCCCACAGTTCAAATCTACCAACTGCTGTGAGGAAGAAGGATGGGTAATTTCCTGCTATGTGATTTTATTGCCTCTGAAAATCCATTGGAAGATCAACTATGGGTTGACTCCAACTCTAAAGCACACAAGGACAACAACATGTTACACAAGAATGTTGCCAGTACTAGTAAACTTGTTTTAATGGAAAAAAGAAATACTCTTACTTACACTTACTTAATTTAATTATAATTTTAGAATTAGAAATCAGAACATTTTAAGAGAGAAATATGACACCTAGGGGGAAAAAAAGGACATTTTCACAATCTAACATGCTTATGTGCCAAAAATTCTGTGGGAGATTACAATTCAGTGCTTTTAGGCTCTACAGTATTAAAAATAATAACTGCAAACTAAGCAGACTAAACATAAACATAGGTGTTTTATCTTTAAAATAATAGTTATAGATTAAGTGCTAAAATGAATGTACTGGGGAAGAGTACTCTGAGAATATGGTACACGGAACAGATCAACCTTAATCACTATAGTTAAGGAAAGATGAGAATGAAATGACTAGTTTTATTAACTAGTTTTCAAAGTAAACTAGTTATTTCTTTTTCATTTCTAGGATAAAAAACTCTTTTTCACATGCTTTATACTCACTGTCATCAAGTCAGAATCGACTCAAAGCTGTCCCTCCAGCAAGAATGCCCACTTTTCTCCCTTGGAGTGGCTCTAGTGGATTTAAACCAGCAGAGAAACAAAGCTTTTGGATTTTCAATTTTGGATTAGCTGGGCAACACTATGGCCCATGTCATTAGAGCTCTATTTCACACCTTTCAAAGGATATTATAAATACTGCCTAAAAGTGCTGTCAAAGTACACATATTTTAGGTGTCAAAAATAACTTTATTTCTCTTCAAAAAAGCACACCAAGAATATTTTATTACTACTCAAGGTAAAATGACAATACCTTTTTGACATTTGATAATACTGTCTTCAGGGCTTGCTCATTTATTTCACCTAAAGAATTATAAAACCTGTAAAAGCCAAGTTAAAGACATTTCAAAAAGGCAAAAAAAGTGCATGAATAATTTAATTAGTATTATTTTACTAATTACCCCTCCAAAATCTACCCATTGCATATCAAGATGTAACCATTTGCTTGTCAGATGAAATCTTACATAGTATAGAAAATTCTCAAATTAATGGATTTAAGGTGATAAAAACATTAACTCTATAGGCAATGACAAAGGGAAAAGGGAAATTTATCAAGAGATGAACCTGAGTATCTAATTTTTCTCTAAATAAAACTACAGATATTAGAAAGTTAAGTTTATCATATAGCCAGTATATAATTTGAATATTTTAATAATATTGATACTTATAAATACGTATCATGAATTATAGTCAGTAACAAAAGGACTTTTTCCATTTTCTTTCTGTTTCAGAGATATATCACAACTAAGCCAGGTCACCAAAAATTATACTTAAATGAATAGTGATTTGGGAAAGTAGTTAATTTTTCTGGAGGTGGTATTGTTAGTTGCCAGTGAATCAAGTACAACTGATAGTGATCTTATGAACAGTCCTGAACTCTGTCCTAGCCCGTGCCATCTTCATCAACTGTGACACACTTGAGCCTACCGCTACAGTTACTGTGCTAATCCATCTCCTTGTGGGTTTTCCTCTGTTTTGCTGAGCCTCCATCTTCCCAAGCATGATGTTTCTTCCCAATGAACCCGCTCCTAGCAACATGTCCAAAGTATGAGAAACAGAACATTGTTATCGTTGCCTTCCAGGAGCACTCTGACTGCATTTCCCCAAGACATATCTGTTCTTTCAGCAATCAATGGCATATGCAGTACTCTTCTCCAGAACCACAAGAATTTTTAGGTTGTTTTGTACTGGTCTTTGTTCTGCAGTCAAATATCAAAGATGTAGAGGACAAAGGGAGTATGATTGCTAAAAATTCTAAAGCATTTATTACTTCCCACTTTTGTTCCCCCATAACTTTACTAATTGCTGTTGATTCAGAACCAACTCCTAGCTGACCTTCCATCAGGTTTTTGGAGGCTGCCTGTCTTTATCCTGTAAAGCTGTTGGTGGACCCAAACTATGAGAGTTGTCACTATGGGGTTAACTGTGAAACTCCCTATTGTCTAGGTCACCAGAGCTCTCCTTTTCTCAGAAGATTGCAAGTGTTATTTTCTTTTTAGCACTTACTGGAATCAATAATGCTTTTTTCCATTATAATAATATACCTTTATTATATAAAATCCTGTAGAAATAATATCTATTAGAACAGGTTTTATTGGAGATTCTAGTTTGTATACTAAAAAGAATTCTCACATAAAAGAAAAAAGAAATAGATGTTCATAGCTATTTTTTTAAATTGACGTTTACATTAATTAGTTCCAATAAACATTATAATACTTTTACCCACCAAACAAGCAAAGAATCAAAATGATCCCTCTATTATATTTCCAACAGGAAAACACTAAATGCAAGAAATAAATCATGTATTTCTCTAACATTTCTGAACCTCTCCAATTAGAGCATATGGTAATATACTCAGTTATATTAAAAAGCCCCAGGAACTGCCCAAATAATAATTGACATATTTCAACAAACAGATGCATCCCTGGGCATGCTCAGTAGTTTATGCCAAGAAAATTGGAAGAGCCTGGCCAACTGACTGGAACGGATTTGTTTTTGTTCTCTATCCTAAAAAAAGGTCCAACAGAATGTGGAAATTATCAAACAATATCACTAATATATCACATGTAAGTAAAATCATAAAGATCATTCAAAAAATAGCTGGATCAGTATATCAAAAGGGAACTGCTAGAAATTCAACCTGAATTCAGAAAAGGCTGTGGCACAAAGAGATATCATTGCTGATGGCAGATAAGCAATACTGATGGTTGAAAGTAGAGAATACAAGAAGAATGTCTACTTGTGATTTATGGACTATAAAAAGATACTTGTTTAGGGGCGGGGGCAAAAAAAAAAAAGATACTTGTTTAGATCATAACAAATTGTGGCTAACATTAAGAATGGGAATCCCAGAATGCTTAATTGTGCTCATACAAAACCTATACCTAGACCAAGAAGTTGTTTGATCAGAATAAGGGAAGACTGCATGGTTTAAAATCTGGAAAGATACGCATCAGGGGGGTTGCATCCTTTCTCCATATCAATTTAATCTGTATGATGAGCAAATAAGAGAAGCAGGACTACATGAAGAAAAATTTGGCATCAGGATTGGAGGAAGATTCATTAAAACGTTGCTGCACACTATTAAATTGATGACTGTGCTTAGAAACACATTTTGCCACCTACAACCAGAAGATCAAGTAGAAGAATGGGACCTTCTAAGAATCAAATCCCTAAGCATCCAAAAACTTCTCCAACAGGGTAAAAAGGGAAGCCACCGACTGGGAAAAAGTCTTTGGTAATGACATATCAGATAAGGGACTTATATCTAAAATTTATAAAATCCCTGAGCACCACAACAAGATAAAGGTGAATAATCCAATTGAAAAATGGACACAGGATATGAACAGACACTTCACCGAAGAAGACATTCAGATGGCCAACAAATACATAAAGAAATGTTCAAAATCCCTATCTCTAAGAAAGATGCAAATTAAAACAACTATGAGATATCATCTCACCCCAGTCAAAATAGCAAAATTTAACAGAACAGTAAGCAACAAAGCTGGCGAGGTTGTGGAGAAACTGAAACCCTGATTCACTGTTGGTGGGAGTGTAAAATGGTGCAACCACTGTGGAAGGCGGTATGGCGCTTTCTCAAAAAGTTGAAAATAGAGATACCATTTGACCCAGCAATTTCACTACTGGGAATATACCCCAAAGAGACCATAACTGACATCCAAGCAGATACATGCGCACCCATGTTTATTGTGGCTTTGTTCACAATAGCAAGGAGTTGGAAACAACCTATGTGCCCATCAACCAATGAATGGATAGAGAAGCTGTGGTATATTCACACAATGGAATACTATGCTGCATTGAAAAGCAAGGAACTCATGCAATATAATTCAAAATGGGTGACCCTGGAGGACATTATGCTGAGTGAAGTATCTCAGTCACAAAAGGACAAATACTGCATGGTGCCACTGTTGTAAAACAGGACTGACCTCGGGGTTGGGGGGAGACTGAGAAAGATGGGCTAAATAATGTATACTGCATTGAAACAGATGAAGGAGAAAACTGTTTAAAAGGGATATGTGATTGGGTATTTTTTTTCTTGACTGGAGCCAGAGTGAAGGCTACATGGTGGAGTGGACCTGGGGGAGGGTTTGTAAAACAATGAAAGAATTTTTGTTTTACTTTTATAAGGGGGTAGTGTACTAGGGGGGAGGGTTGGAAGGGGAGAAAAGTGCAACAATGAATGAATGGAAATCCAAAGTCTCTGTAAATTTTTACTGATATTAATAATAAATTTTAAAAAACACACATTAGCAGGGTAAAAAAAGAGAAACACATTTTGCTGGCATTTGCAGCACCGTCTTAATAACCTGTATTATGAAGCTGACACACTTTGCTTGTTCAAAGCAAAGAAGATTTGATGTGCTTGTTACAGAAGATCCAAGATTAAAGCTTTCAATATGGATTACATCTCAATATGAAGAAAACAAAAATCCTCACCACTGTGCCAACATCGTGATGGAAGGGAAAAAAGATCAAAGTTGTCAATGATTTCATTTTACTTGGATCCACAATCAACACCCATGGCATTAGCAGTCAAGATATCAAAAGACATATTGCATTGAGACAATGTGCTGTAAAAGACCTCTCCAAAGTACTAAAAAAGCCAGGGTGTCAGTTTAAAGACTAAAGTATACCTGATCCACAGTCTTTTCAATTACAGGTTATGCATCTGAAAATTGGACCAAGAATAAGGTGACAGGATAACCGATACCTTTGAATTGTGATACTGCAAAGAGTACTGAATATTCCATGGACTATGAAAAGAACAAAAAAGTCTGTCTTGGAGGAAATGCAACCAAAATGCTACTTCAAGACAAGGATGGTAAAACTTGGGCATATACTGGGCATGCTGTCAGGAGGGGACAGTCCTTGGAAAAAGCATCATGCTGAAAAGTCAGAGAAACTATAAACTCTCAACAAAATAGACTGATACAGCGACTGTGACGATGGACTTGAGCATATCACAGATAGTGAGATGGCACACAATAGGGCAAGGTTCCTATCTGTTATTCACAGGGTAGCTTTGTGTTATACTCAACTTGATGGCACCTAACAAGAACATAAAAAGTAACAAGATAGCAGAGTATATCTAGAAGCATCAATTTTGAAGTTTTTGAGAAAAGTTGCTGGAGGGGATAATTTGTAAATATAAATATACTATCCAGGAGAAATATAAAGTGCATAATTTTTTTTAAAACTTTGAATAAGTTATAGGCTTCAATACTCTGTTTCCCAAATATTTCTCTGGAAAACTCAGTTTAAACATACTAAGAGCAGGACTTGGCAACCTTTTTTAGTAAATGTCCAGGTGGTAAATATTTTAGGCCTTGTAGCACATTATTCTTTCTCTCTTACTTTGTAAAAATTTACAAAGTGTAGAAGCCAGTCTTACCAGGGCTTTGCTTGTGCCAATGCCTATATTAGTTAGGGCATATAACTGAGAAGTAAAGCTTGTAAACTTACACCTTAGTTTCAGATTTTGTTTTTAGTATGTTCACTGTATTATGTATCCTATTTCCATACGTTTTCAATCTATATGCAGAATAGATTATCTGTGAGACTGGGCTCTATGAGGAGAAATGTGGCATCAGATTGGAAGAAGACCCATCAACAATCTGCATTATGCAGATGACACAACCCTGCTTGCTGAAACTGAGGAGGACCTGAAACACTTACTGCAGAAGGTCAAAGACTGCAGTCTTCAAAATGGATTGAGGCTCAATATCAAGAAGACAAAGATTCTCACCACTGAACTGATTGGCAGCATCAGGATATATGGTGAAGAGATTGAGATTATTAACAACTTTAGTTTGCTTGGGTCCAATCAAGACTCTTGGCACCAGCAGCCAGGAAATTAAAAGATGTACTGAGATGGGAAAGTCTGCTGTCAGAGACCTCCCCAAAGTACTGAAGAGCAACGATGTAAGTCTAGAGACTAAGGGGTGCCTGATACAAGCCATGGTCTTTGCAATCACTTACTATGCATCAGAGAGCTGGACAATGACTAGGGATGATAGAAGGAGAAGAGATGCCTTTGAGCTGTGGTGTTGAAGAAGAGTATTGAACATAGCATGGACAGCTAAGAGAATGAACAGGTTTGTCCTAGATAGGGTTAAACAAGGCAAAGATTCTGAAACTTCTTCTGACATACTTTGTCAGACATGTTGCAAGGAGGGACCAGTCCTTGGAGAGGGACTTCATGCTTGGGAGGATGGAGGGACAGCGCAGGAGAGGAAGTCCCTCTATGAGATGGATTGATTCAGTGACTGGGGTAATGGGTGTAGATGTGTCTGAAACAGTGAGACTGGCACTGGTTAGAGCAGGATTTAGCGCTGTTGTGCATAGGGTCACCATGAGTCACAGGTGACTCAATGGCACATAACAACAACATATTGTTTGGAACAGTGACAGCATGCTATAATGAAAAGAGCTTTGGATTAGAACTCAAATATGATTCTTCTCACTGGAAGGTAACATTAACTAGCTCTCTAACCTTGGTTAAAATGATATAGACCCATTTATGTTGTTAGGTATATGTCATAACCATTTTGAGTGATTCTCTTGTTATGCCTTCTCCTTCTGTTAATCTCTGCTCTGTAAGGGCATGGGTCTCTCACAACTGGATAATGAGAAACTCATAATCTCTTCAGCACGAACACTATTAAACTGGTCTTACTATTAAGACAGGAGATATTGAATCAATCATTTTTTATCCCACTCTCCCTCTTGACACATTGTTAGTCTATAAGCTCTTTGCTAGAGGATACCTCAAGGGAATCCCTTTATGAGTTTCTAATCAAGAATCCATCAGTCGTTAAACAAGTATTTTTTATATGGACATTGCTCATTAGGCACTATAGAAGCTGAGCTTTTTTCTAGTCTAACAGTTTAAGATTGTTGTTTTTGATTGCCTTTGAGTTGAGCAAGACTCATAGTGACCCTATGAACAAAAGGCCTTAAGCCCCTCTACAACTATCAACATTTATCAACATTCAGAGTTCCCAGAGGCATGCTATTTAGGAAGTGGATGACACTCCAGCAGTTTAAGATTACAGCCTTTTTTTCCTGCTGCCACCTCACCACAGATTTTTCTTATCTTTCACTACAGCCCTTAAATAACCTTAGAGATGTGTACATAAACAGAGTGGCCATAATTTATATTATACTAATGTACCTTACTAATTGCCATCGAGTCAGAAACGACTCACAGCTGTATTTTCAGAGGCTATAAATCACATGGGTGATTGCCCATTTGTCTCTCCCAGAGTTGCCCATGGATCTGAACCAACTACTTTTGGACTGGCAGGACATATCCCTAGCTAGGCATCTCCCTACTCACCAGGTCATCAGAGCTCTCTGATCTAAAGTTTTCATGTATGGGTTACATAAATCACATAAATCATAAATATTTTCTTAAAGAGTGCATTATAGATAACAGTACTTCCAGTGTTTGTATACTGGAAGTTTTCACCTTAAATGGCAAAAGGAAAGTTTAGGTGAAGAACTTAACCAGTTAACAGGTAAAAAAAATAAAAAAATGATGAGGAAATAGCTGGTAAAAACAAATAACAAAAGGACAAAGAAGAGCTGCTGTTGATGATCTATAAGACTATATGACTGATTTTGTAATACACTTGTGGTAATTTAGCCTAAGAAGGAAAAGTGTCAAAGTACAGCTGGTGGTACCAGGGAAAGGCAGTGGAGACAAACTAAAATAAAGGCTATAAACCCAAGAGAAAGAGCCACTAGACACAACAAACAGTGCACAGGTGAATTTTCAGGTATTAAAACAATTTTTTATAATAATCTATGCCATCATATATATAAGTAAGACTGCTAATTTTACAAATCAAGTAATTTCAGAGCATACTTCATTTGCAGAGATTAATTTTCATGATGAACCATTTACTTACTTTTAATATTAATAATATTACTCACCTAAAAAGCCGATAGCATGGAATATATTTCTGAATGTCTGAGGAAAAAAGGATTAGTAATTATAATAATAGTCATTTCAATCATAAAATGAGTTCTTCATGCTACAAAGTACTTTGCCAATGATTATCTCATTCAGTCTATAAAGCAAGCCTATGAGATCTTTCTATCTTCCATTACAGATGAAGCAACAGGCAGAGAGTAATTAAGCTGTCCCTCAAATCAGTAGTAGGGTTAAAATTCAACCCCAGAAAGTCACTTATAATTACAAAGCTATATTCCCGCCACACAATGGTTCGTTAATAACTTCAATGCAAAAGTATACCTAACTCACAATGGTTCGTTAATAACTTCAATGTAAAAGTATACCTAACTGCCATATTTTCACTGAGTTTTAAATAACTCATTATGTTCTAATCTACCAGTGACTCTGCAGAAGAAAGATGGCAATCTCTTCTCAGGTCATTTACCTCGGAAACTCAGAGTGTCAGCTATGAGTTGGTTTCAACTTGTCAGCAATGAGTTTTATACACTAATTTTACCAATCATTATAAACAACAATTAGAAGAGTGTTACCTATAAACTAAGAAACAAAAAACTCCACATTTCAAAGAAGTTTTCTTTTCGTTCTGAAATAATACTACACATAAATAGGAAAAGTGATCATGGTCTTTAGACACTTTTCTTCTACCAAAAGCACTCTGGTTGCCTAGTGGTAAGGAGTTTGGCTGCCAATCCAAAAGCATGTGGTTTGAGTTCACCAGCTGCCATACAGGAGAAAGAGGCAATCTCCTCTTAAAAAACCACTAGAAAGCAGCTTATATGTCAGTTCTGACTTGACAGAACATAACAAAAAATAAATCAAACCTCAGGAGAATTCCTCTGTCTGAAAAAAAGTCTTTGTAACTTATAATCAGCATAAGTTAGCTAGTGTGCTCATCAACAAATGAATGGATAGAAAAACTGGTATATTCACACAATGGAATACTATGCAGCACTAAAAACAAGGAACTCATAAAATATTACACAGCATGGGTGACCTGGAGGGCATTATGCTGAATGAAATATCTCAATCACAAAAGGTCAAATACTGGTAACATCACTGTTATAAAACAGAACTGACATGGGGGTTAGTGGGGTAACTAAAAAAAGAGGGGATAAATAATGACCACTGCATTGGAACAAATGAAGGGGGAAAAACTGTTTGAAAGGAATATATGATTACTTATTATTTGTATGACAACAGTACAGAATAAGAGGTGCATACCAAAGTGGACTGGGAGAGGGGGAGTGAGGAAAGGAAATTATACAACAATGAATGATTTTTTTTAAGTGAAGGGGGGTTGGGATAGTAAGAATGTGGTACAACCAATAATGAATGATAATCCAGCTTTTCTGTAAACTTTCATTAAAATCACAATATAAAAAAGAAGAGGGGAAAAAAGCCTATGATAGTGTACATTCAAAGGAAAGTAAACAAGTAATGTAAATGCATTTCCAATGGTCTCCACATGTTAGGAATTAGCTTTACAGTAATTAAACTTTTAAAGTAATTTGAATAAACATTGAAATGTTCCTTTAGCACACTTTCCTTAAAATTTTGCACTGTGCCTAGCACAATGTAGTTGCTGAAGTATTTGCTAAATTAAACAAAACTCTTCAAAATGAGTGGCACAATAATTTCAATTTGGGGGAGAAAAGTAAGGAACCCTGATGATAACATGTTGGGCTACCAACTAAAGAATTCAAACCCACCAGCAGCTCCACTGGGTTAATCATAGGGTCACATCATTTGATGGGTGGAGAGAGGGGTGGGTAAGAGAAATGGGAAAGATCCAGTCTGAAAAACAATGTATATGAACTTTGTGTAAGTAAGTATAAAATAACAATTTTATTTAAAAAAAGAAAAAGCAAATCTTATGGAGGATTACTATGAGTTGAATTGGACTGCAGTGGGTTTGGTCTGGGTAATGTTCAAGTGTCAGAAGAGAAATAAATGTATCATTATAAGCAAAGTAAAAATACAAACTGTTAAAAAAGTGGCCCATTTCCTTAGTCATAAAGTGTTATTACAAATCAACAAGAGAAAGAAAAATAGGCCACTAGAAATAGTTAAATGAGAACGGATTATTTCAATCATTTGAAAGCTGGTGTCCTTGGCCCTCTTTTATCCACTTCATCTTTGCTCTTCACAAACTATTTCCATGGTAGTCTTTCAAAGATGTAACTGTCATTCTATTATTCAATTAAAAACCTTTGCTCTGAATTTTTCTTTTTTTTAATATGGAATGCTTCACAAATTTGAGTGTCATCCTTGTTCAGGGGCCATGCTAATCTTCTCTGTAGTCCCAATTTTAGTATATGTTCTGCCGAAGCGAGCACACTGCTCTGAAATTTTAAATTATTTGACGCTATAAAATATTATAAAAAACCAACACAGGTAAAAAAGGAAAAGGCAAAAAAGCATGACAAATGCTTATGATAGAAATGCACATGGAAACAGTATTTTTTCCCCCCACTTAACAAACTGAAAAAGGTTACAAGATTTGTTACTATTTGGTGCTGGTAAGAGTAAAGAATGAATGAATTTTGATCTATAAAGCATATTTTAAAAAACTGTACATAAGCATTTAAAATGCTTTAACTTTCCCAGAGGACATTCAGGTAGTCTGCCTCTAGGAATCTGACTTTAACATATACTCAAAGTCACAAAGCCACAAAGCTTTAGGTACTAAAATGATCACTGAATACTGTTTGTAATAATAGGGAGAAAGAACAGAAACAGTCTTTATAGCTAGTTAAGTAAGCTACACTACTCTGATAGAAAAGTTAGCACAACTTAATGGAAAATCTGCAACCATTACAAGAATAAAGAACTATATGTATTGACACTAGAAAACATGAATGATTGGAGATGTATTTCTGCATAAATAATATTACCCTATTTGTGTACATTGTTGTCATGTGCTGTCTAGTCACCTGAGGCTCATAGCGACCTTATGTTCAACAGTTCTGAACTCTGCCCTATTCTGAGTCAGTCTCATTGTCTGACAAACCTACCCCCCCATTACCCGAGTCACAGAGTCAATCCAATTCATCCAAGGTCCTGCCCTTCTGTGCTGTCCCTCCACCCTTCCAAGCATGATACCATTCTCCATGGTCCCTTTGGCAACATACCCAAAGTAGATGAGACGGAGCTTCAAAATAGGTGAGCATAAATATATATCTATTTTTAGATATGAATGTCTTAAGTACATTGTTATGTGCATCGAGTTGCTTGCACCTCATAGCAACCCTATATACAATAGCTCTGAACCCTGCTCTATTCTGTGCCAACCTTATTGTCGCTGACATACCTACCCGTTACCCCAGTCCCTGAGTCAATCCACCTCATTGAGGGTCTTCCTCTCTTGCTCTGTCCCTCCACCCTCTGAGCATGATGTCTTTCTCCAGCTACTGGTCCCTCCTTGCAACATGTCTAAAGTATGCCCGACGAAGCTTCAAAATCCTTGCCTCCAAGGAGCAGCCTGGTTTCACTCTCTCTAGGATGAACCTGTTTGTTCTCCTAGAAGACCATGGTATATTCAACACTTTCCTCCAGCACCACAGCTCCAAGACAGCAATTTTCCTATCATTCCTAGTCATTTTCCAGCTTTCTGATGCATAGCATATTATGAGTTAAAAAAAAAAAAAGGAACTCTTCGGATTATGGCCCTTAGTGATCCTTCACCTAAAACAGAACTCATCCCTGCTACTCAACTTTCAGCCACACAATAGCCAGGCCTAAAAAGTGAATCAAGTAGGCATCTGCTCCTTAAAATGAAAAAAAAAACACCCACAGGGGAGCTCTGGTGGCCTAGTGGCAAGAAGCTGCAACCACAATCCCAGAGGTGCACAGTTCGAATACACCAGATGCTCTGCCGGGGAAGGAGGGGCAATCTCCTCCTGTACCAGTCAGATCTGATTTGATGGTACACACACACAAAAATAATAAAATTTAAAAAAAAATTAAAAAAAATTAATTAAAAAAAAACACCCACAAAAAAAGTCCACGTAATTGACAGTGGATGGTCCTGAGGTGACTAATCAAAGTGAAAAGTTTAACTTTATTTTCTACTATATACTTCCTAGTCTTTTAAAGTGGTAAACAACAAATGACAATATGAAAATATACTCTTTTCGGAAAGATACTTACATACATAGCTATATGTAATATATAGATATACACACTCCATATACACATATATGTATATCAAATCAGTATGTATAAAAATTTCATATTCATATAAAAATATCAAATATTATGCATGTATATCAAATATGTGTGTATGTATGTATGTGTGTGTGTGTGTGTGTGTGTATATATATATATAAAATGTTGTTATGTGCCATCGAGTTTAGTATTTGACACTGTAATACCATTCTCAGGAATCTATCCGTAACATATACGAACATACATTTTTTTTAATTAAAATAATTTTATTATCTTTTCTCCATACATTACCAGACATATTTTTTTAACTTTTTTTTATTTTTATGAAAGTTTACAAAGACTTTAGATTTCTATTCATTTATTGTTGCACTTTCCTCCCTGCCCACCCTTCCTCCCCAGTTCTCTTTTCTCTCTGAAAAGTAAAAAAAAAAAAATTCTTTAATTATAAAATCCCCCCTCCCCACTCCACTCCACTATGCAACTTTCATTCTTGACTCTTATCATGACAATAATACCTGATCATATAGTCCTCCTAAACAGTTCTCTCTCTCATCTGTTTCAATGCAGTATATATTATTTATCCCCTCTTACTTTCCTCCAACCCCAATGTCAGTCCTGCTTTACAACAGTGGCACTATGTAGTATTTGTCCTTTTGTGACTGAGATATTTCACTGAGGATAATGTCCTCCAGGGTCACCCATTTTGTATAATATTGCATGAGTCCCTTGTTTTTCAATGCAGCATAGTATTCCATTGTCTGAATATACCAAAGCTTCTCTAACCATTCCTTTGTTGATGGGCACCTGGTTTGATTCCGGCTTTGCTGTTGTGAACAAAGATGTAATAAACATGGGTGTACATATATCTTGGGTTGTAGTTATGGTTTCTTTTGGGTATATTCTCAGTAGTGGAACTGCTGCATCACACGGTACTTCTATTTGCAACTTTCTGAGAAAGTGTCATGTAGCCTTCCACAGTGGTTGCACCATTTTACACTCCCACCAACAGTGAATAAGGGTTCCAGTTTCTCAGCAACCTTGCCAGCATTTGTTTGGATATATTTCTGTATAAGATGTTTGCTGTAGTATAATTTATGATGAAAAACAGAATTCACTCTAATTACAATGTAGCTATATGACTGATTGAATCATGGGGGGAAGAGGTGGGCAGGGAGAAAAGTGCAACAATGAACAAATGAATGAATGAAAATCTAAAGTCTCTGTAAATTGTCATTAAAATTAATAATAAAAAATATTTTTTAAAAAAGACTGATTAAATCAATGGCATCTAGGATAGAATGCATGCCTTACATTGTAGATTACAGAATATTTTTTACACTGACCCAATATACTGATGCCAAAGTTTTATAAAGTACACTTCTTTCGTTTAATAAACTCCAACTAACTGCTTTTAGTCAGAACTCATAGTTAACCCTCCAGCAGGCTTTTAGAGGCTATAAATCACATGGGAGGGGAGGACAAATCTTTCTCTCACAGAACTACCACTGGGTGGATTCAAAGCACCTGAAAAGTGGCATCTTTGGCTTAGCAGTGTAACTCTCTATGGACGATGCCACCACAGCTCCTCAGTGTTTATATATACATACAAGATTAAGGGGAAACTCTATTAATCAGAAAATTCCCTATATATTTTAAATTTCCTTTTCCTTAAAAAGCGGCTGCTGCCATAAACTGTGGCTGCTTTAGCACTCCACTCCTTAAATCTTTTAAGTCTAGCCTTTTCCCCATTCCAAAATGATTCAAGGTTTTCAAGTTTCCAATAAGTCTTTTCAGTTATCATCTCCTGGAGTTTTCAATAGCATTTCACATTGCTGATCCTAACGTTTTTTCAGGAAACTGTTTTCTTTTCTCTTTGTTGCTTTTGGTTCCTTCCTTTGCTGGGCTATCTTCTGCTACATAAATATATGAAAGACCTCTTTTCATTCTTTTTCCTCACAATAGTCTTATCTTCTTCCTATATACTGTATTTCCACATTTAAACCAATCTGAAGCGTTCCTTAATTTTAAGTGAAAAATAATTAAATGTAATATTCTTTTAAGCAGTCTGCTTTTATATTTTTTCTTAGCAATTTTAGAACTGTAATTTCAGCATAAACCATAAAGCAATTGGAGACTGAAATAACTGACTCACCAATTGTATAAATGACTTCGACATCATCCATTTGAGAGTCAGTAATGCTATTCTTGGCTTCACCTTTAACTTCTCCCAGGAGAAAACCTTCCTATAGGATAAAAATAACACAGTATATTGGATCACCTGAATCACATTCAGTCACTTAACTAAGAAATAATCACTGAGTATTTTTATTATGCATTCAAATGGCCAGGGGGTACCAGTCCTTGGAGGAGGACATCATGTTTGAAATAGTGGCGGGACAATGCAGGAGGGGAAGACCTCAGATGAGATGGATTGATACAGTAACTGGGGTAATGGTGTTAGAGTCAGAGACTGGCTCCACCTAGGGCACGGTTCAGGGCTATCGACATAGGGTCACTATGAGCCACAGGTGACTCAATACATATAACAACATTCGAGGCCATGCTAGCAGCTGTATGGCACACAGACTAGAAATATTTCCACTAGCTGGGAAACATGAATTTAGATAAAAATGTGATGAGATTGCAAATATAAGGGATTACAAAGCGGAGAAATTAATATAGCCTGAGACAAGGAAAGCTCCCAACAGCAGGAGTGGAACAGAGTCTGTGAAACACATACATTAACACTTAGAAAGCACAAGCAGGCGAGCTCTGGTGGCCTAGTGGCAAGAAGGTGTACTGCAATCCCAGAGGTACACTGTTCAAATTCACCAGATGCTCTGCTGGAGAAGGAGGAACAATCTCCTCCTGTACCAGTCAGATCTGATTTGACGGTACACACACACAAAACAATAAAACTAAAAACAACAACAAAAAAAATTATTAAAAAAAAAAAAACAAAAAAAATTATTAAAAAAAAAAAGCCGCACAAGCAGAGGCATCAAGTTTGATCAAGGATGAGTAGTCTTAAAACAGAGTCTTCTATTTCTAAGAAAATCAAAGATCAATAGGATAAAAGCTATTAATGGAATTTCCTAAAAGCCAAGCAAGGGTCCATCTCCTGGGAGCCTCTGAGCTATAAAATTACACAGCAGTGTTTGTACTGTAGAATATGTATGTGTAACAAAATAGGAAGTATTCAAAGAATTAGAATTCTGTATCACTCCGGTTTCTTAAAAAACTGTAAGACCACATTATGCTTGTGTGTGGAGCTAGAGAGAGTACATGAACACAAATGGTCTGGTCCACATAGTTGTGCTAACTCAAAATGCTATACCACTCTTGTTGTGTACCACAGAGTCAGAACCTACCCATAGCTGACCCTCCAGAGGCTTTGCAGAGGCAATTACTTCTATGGGAGAAGACTGCTCCTTATAAGTGAGGAGGGTGAGACTCTGTCTCATGTACTCTGTACATGTTATCAGGAGGGACCAGTCATGTCTGATAAAAGTTAATAAGTTCCACCTTGTCAACTATGACTCACAGCCACCCTGTGAACACCAGATCTGAACTTTGCTCCAACCTGTGCCAACCTCACTACCTCTGATATGCTCAAGCCCAGTGTTAGTCACTGTGTCAGTCTCTCTTTTTAAGGGTCTTTTCTCTGACCCTCCATCTTTCCTAACACAATGTCTTTTTCCAAGAACCAGCCCCTCCCAATGATAGGCCCACAGTACGTAAAACCAGTTTTCACCATCCTTGCTTCCATGGTTGCACTTCCTCAAAGACTTTTTTGTTCTTTTTGGGAGTCCACAGGACACTCAGTACTTTTCTCCACAACTGAACAGCATCAATTCTTCTATTATCTTTATTCACTGTCCAATTCATAGATGCACTGGATCAGGTAAAACTTAGTCTCTGACCGACATCTTTTATACTTTTAAGAGGTTCCTACCAGATAATGCACCTTGTCTTTTGATATCTTGACTGCAGTTACCATGGGTATTGATTGTGGAGCCAAGTAAAACAAAATTGTTGACAATTTCAATCTTTTCTCCATCTATCTTGAGGTTGCCTATTGGACCAGTGCTTTTCTTGATGTTGAGAGGTAATTCATATACTAAAGGGTGTAGTCTTTGGTACCAAGTGCTTCAAGTCCTCCTCACTTTCAACAAGGAAAGTTTGTGTCATCTGCATAAAGCAGGCTGTTGATGAGTCTTCTTCAGAATCCAGCTTCATAGGGAGCTCCGATGGCCTAGCAGCAAGAAGCTGCACCACAACCCCAGAGTTCAGCTTCTTCAATTATTTGTTCAGTATACAGACTGAATAGGTATGGAGAAAGGATACAACCAAGATATACACCTCTCCTGATTTTAAACCATTCCCTTGTTCTGTTTGGACAATAGCTTTATGTATAAAGGACAAGTTTAAATGAGCACAATTATGTATTCTGGGATTTACATTCTTCTCAGTATTATCCTAATATATTAGAATCTACACAAATGCCTTTACAGAGTCAATAAAACACAGATAAACACTTTGTGTTCTCCACTTTCAATAAAGATCCAACACTAGCAATATTCTTTGTGCCCCAGCCTTTTCTGAATCCAGCTTAAACTTCTGTAAGTTCTCTGTCAATGTAAAAATGTGGTATTAAGGATATTTTTAAAGATAACTTCCACATTCTGTTGAATCACCTTTTAGGAAATGAGAATAGATATGGATCTTTTTCTAGTTGGCCAGATTGCTGTTTTGGCATAAACTACTGAGCAGGTCTAGGGCTGCATTTGACTTTAGAAACATGTCAAGTGGTATTCTTTCAAATGGTGCCTGATAATGGTTTTTGGGGTTTTGGGTTGGGTTTTTTCCCCCCCAATAAAGTAGACAGCAAAAAAAAAAAGATCTTCAGTGAGATGATTTGGCACAGTGGCTATAACAATGGGTTTGAATATGGTAACAATTTTAAGGATGGTACAGTGCTTACTGTATATGGCTGAGTTGGAACTGATTTGACAGTACCGAATAGCAAAGTGCACTGTAAACACTGAACATTTGTAATTCATTCTAACTAGTTAGAAATGCATTTTTTCTCCATTTTATGCAAAGGGGAACACAAAAGAAGTATTTCACAATGACTCAAAGGGGGTAAGAACCCACTAGTATTCTAACTTTGCTATCACCAAGGGCAAACTCCACAGGAGGTTACAAAGCGGTCTAATAACCAAAAGGTTGGCAGTGCAAACTCACTGGCTGGTCCAGGAAGTCTGTTCTCATTTAGGATGGGAAACCATATGGAAAGAACTGAGAGCAGCAGGTTTTCTACCTTTACTTACACTAAAAGGCAATCCAAAGTCATTTCCACAGCTACATCAGTTAACTCACTGTCTTCAAGACAGTCATGACTCATAGGAACCTGGGGGCAAGGGTAGAGCTGTCCCACACGATATAGGCTGTAATGCTGGCATGAACAGATGGCTACATCTTTATCATGCTAAGAAGATGCCCCTAGGGCCTTCTCCACATATTTAAAATTATCATATATTTCAATTCTTGATAGATGTTTACCTGAAAGGTTATTTAAAATAAATTTAAAGTATATTGACTCTGATCTACATTAGAATGTGATAAAAATAGTATCTGACAAAATCAAACTTTAAAATAGGAACAAAGTTTAATGTAAATTAGTCCACCCTATTCACTATTACAGTGAATTAATAGTAACACGTTGCCGCACAGTTTTTAAATTGACGACCGTGCTTAGAAACACATTTGCCGTCATTTGTGAGGTTAATAGCTCAACAGCTATTGGTACTGTGTAAGGTGTACTTTGGATGTTACATTTTTCAACAAGCTACTCAGCATTTTCTACGAAGCAGTACTGCTAACAAATTAATTTCATCAAAACAAGTTTTAGAAAACAGACAGTAGGGAGCTCTGGTGGCCTAGTGGCAAGAAGCTACGCTGCAATCTCAGAGGTAGGAAGTTTGAATCCACCAGATTCTCTGCTGGAGACGGAGGGGCAATCTCCTCCAGTACCAGTCAGACCTGATTTGACGGTACACACACAAATAATAATATTTTTTTAAAATCATAGAAAACAGACACTATTTAGAATATTATTTCATTAATCTTCATCTTGAGATTTTAACTAGGATAATATGTAGAATTGTTTAAATTTTTATTGAGGATAGAATTTTAAAAGTTGGACACCAATACAAAACCACACACGTCTGATACGCAAAACAGTAAATTAAGCCTATTCATCCACTTGGTGGTCTTCATTAATGTTAAAAAATACAATCATTGAACACAAAATTCCCTTGGTATCCTAGCGTTAAAAATCAAGGGGGAAAGGAGGCTGCCCTGCACCGAAAAAAAAAAAAAATATTTACAACTAGATCTGAAAATGACACTGTCGGTAACGGAAAGTTAGCTGGCAACTCTGTCAAGGTTGGGGGGAGGTCGCTAAATGAACTTTTCTTCCTTTTCGGGTCAAAGTAAGGCCGAAAACAGGGAGAGAAATGTGGACGTGTAGGTACCAGCGTAGCAGGGGAAAAAACAAAACAAAACCATAAAACCACCAGGTTAAAGGAGGGAAGGCTAATCTTGGGAAAGACGACTGGAGCAGTTGGCGCGCTCAAGAGGAAGGCAGAGCCATGAGGGTCGAGCCAGCGGCGGGAGGAAAGGCGGGGGTCGGGCGATGGCGGGGAGGAGGCGTGCGCCGGGACCTTTATCAAGTAACACCGGGTCTGCCTCGCACCCTCGGCTCACCGTGTCCGAGTCGGTGTTGAAGTGCTGGAAGGCCAGCGCGCCAAGCACAAAGCCGGAGAGCACCGCCGACGTGCTCTCCCCTTCCATGCTCTAGATGACGTTACGCCGTTAAGTAGGAAGAAAGAAGCCGAGCGAACAGATGGCACTCCATGCTCGGGAAGACAGCGGGAAGGCGTGGCTGAGCTGGAAGGAGGGTCCGGCGCCTGCGCACAGGCTGCGGCATGCTCCGCGAAGGAGATGGGTGGGGAGGTGCACGGCCATTAAGGAGGGCGTGGCGAGGCGGCGTGGGCGGGGCTCGCGGATCGAACTTCTCTTACCTGCTTTTACTTACAAAGTCTTGCAGAGCCAAGGGCACGCTGCTGCACAGCAAGCCATTCTTTGCTGGATGATATAATAAATCCCATGCTGGCTGCCAGGGACCTCTCAAGAGTACTGAAGAGGAACGAGGTCAGGCTGGAAACTAAGGTGCGCCTGATTAGGGCTATAATCTTTGCAATTACGTGCTATGCATCAGAGAGTTGGACAATAATTAGGGATGATAGAAAGAAAATTGATGACTTTGAGCTGTGGTGCTGGAGAAGAGTGTTGAATATACCATGGACTGCTAGGAGAGCAAACAGGTTTTGGAGAGGGTGAAACCGGAATGCTCCTTGGAGTCAAGGATTCTGAAGCTTCGTCTGACGTACTTTGGGCATGTTGCAAGGAGGGACGTCCTTGGAGAGGGAAATCATGTTTGGGAGAGTGGAAAGACGGTGCAGGAGAGGAAGACCCTCGATATGATGGGTCGATTCTGTGATTGGAGTGGTGGGAGTGTGTCGGAGACGGTGAGGTTGACAAAGGATAGAGCAGGGTTTAGGGCTCTTGTACATAGGGTCGCTATGAGTCGCAAACAACTTGACAGCACATAACAAGAACAACAACAGTGGTTTACAGCTTCTTTTTGCTGCCCTTTACTCATCTATACTTCTAAAATAAAACCATGATGGGGGTTGACTCTTCTAAAACTCTCTAGACATGTTCCATCTGATTTGTGCTTTATTTGTGTTCTATTTGCTTTTAGAATGTTAAGGACACAAGTTAACTTGGAGAATGTTAATATAGTTATGAAAGCTTAATGATGTTGTTGTTAGGTGCCATCAGGTACAACCCAACAGATCTGAAACCTGTCCTATCCGGTGCCATCCTCATACTTCCTTACAAATTACAGTTGCAGCATTCACCATGTCAATCCACCTGGTTGAGGGTCTTCCTCTCCTTCACTGACCCTCCACCTTTCCAAGCATCATGTCCCCTCTCCAGCATCATGTCCGACATATATGAGGCAAAGCCTCATCATTTTTGTCTTGAAAAAGAACTCTGGCTGCACTCTTTCCAAGACATATTTGTTCTTTTGGCAATCCATGGGATGTTCAACGCTCTTCTCTAACTCAGCTCTTCTCTAACTCAGCTCTTCTCTAACTTGAGCTCTTCTCAGCTCAAGGCATCAATTCTTCTTCTGTCATCCCTATTTATTGTCCAGCTCTCAGATGCATAGCAAAAAATTGGAAAGACTAGGGCCTAAATCTGTGGCTGACTGAGAAGAATGAGAATCCCAGAACACTTCATTGTGCTTATGCGAAACCTGTACTTGAACCGAGAGGCAGTTGTCAGAACAGAGGAAGAAGACACTGCATGGTTCAAAATCGGGAAGTGTGTCTGCCAGGGATGTATTCTGTCTCCATACGTTTTCAATCTATGTGCAGAACACATCATCAGGGACCCTGGGCTGTGTGAGGAGGAATGCGGCATCAGGATTGGAGGAAGAATCGTCAACAACCTGCGTTATGCAGATGACACAACCCTGCTTGCTGAAACTGAGGAGGACCCGAAGCACTTGCTGCAGAAGGTCAAGGACTGCAGCCTTCAATATGGATTGAGGCTCAACATCAAGAAAACAAAGATTCTCACCACTGGGCCAATTGGCAGAATCATTATGGATAAGGAAGAAATTGAGATTGTTAACAGTTTTAGTTTACTTGGCCCCACAATTAACACTCTTGGTACTAGCATCCAGGAACTCAAGAGACAAATTACATTGGGAAGTCAGCTGTCAGGGATCTCACCAGAGTACTGAAGAGCAACGGCATTAGTGTGGGGACTAAGGTGCACCTGATCCAAGCCATAGGCTTCGCAATTGCTTGCTATGCATGAGATAGCTGAACGTGACTAGGAATGATACCTTCATTGAGCTGTGGTGCTGGAGAAGAGTGTTGAATATACCATGGACTGCTAGGAGAGCAAATAGCTCTTTCGTCCTGGAAAGAGTGAAACCATGCTGTTCCTTGGAGGGAAGGATTCTGAAGCTTTGTCTGACATAATTTGGACATGTTACAAGGAGGGACTGGTCCTTGAAGAAAGACATCATGTTTGAGAGGGTGGAGGGACAGTGCAAGAGAGGAAGACTATCAGTGAGACGGATTGATTCAGTAACTAGGGTAATGGGGGAAGGTGTGTTAGAGACAGTAAGATTGGCACAGGACCGAGTAGTGTTTAGGGCTCTTGTACATAGGATTACTGTGAGTCACAAGTGACATAATGGCACATAACAACAACAACATGGCCTAAATCAGACGCACCTTAGTCCTTAAACTGACATCATGTTGTTGTTGTAGTTATGTGCCGTCGAGTCGTTTCCGACTCATAGCGACCCTATGCATAACAGCCCTAAACCCTGCTCATTCCTGCGCCAACCGCACCGCCTCTGACACACCCATCCCGATTATCAGTCACCGAATCAATCCATCTCATAGAGGGTCTTTCCCTCCTGCGCTGTCCCTCCACCCTCCCAAGCATGATGTCCCTCTCCAAGGACCCGTCCCTCCTGGCAACATGTCCAAAGTATGTCAGACG